ATTTGTCCGATTATAAATCCCTCCCCATCTTAACCTTGGCTCCCACCAAGTCACCATAATTTGTAAGAAAACAAAACATTTACCAAAAGACCGGCTTTTCTGCCTAAATCTTACTCCATTCAGACCCCGAACGCTTAGATTTGGTTGTTACCCTTAAATTACTTTGCGTTTGCAGCCTCAGTACCCCTCTGAATTGGCTCTTTTCTTACAACCAACCACACTGATGGTCTTTGTGGTGAGAATTGTAGTTCTGTCAGCCAGGTTGACCATTCCTGACCTTCCTATTTCCTGCACACCCTTCCAGACCAAGATCACTGTGATTAGGCTGGCACACGTGGAACCCAACATGGCTGGTCCATCCAGCATTGATTGTAAGCCTGGATCGGGCTGACCAATCCTGACCTTTCCTCCAACTGTAGTGCGAAACCTTTCACTTTTTTATGCTGGGTGGCATATGTGGGAAGCATGCTTTGCCTCTGAGTCAGATATTCAGGGATGAGTCTCCTCCCAAGGCTTAATGGCCAAGGAAAATACATTCATAATCTAGCCAGGCATTTTGAGTAATGATCTGTGAATCCTTCAAACACATGACAATGGCGGGTGCCAGGTCCTAGAAGATTCTTGGTCAACGATGTGAACCTCTGTCCCCATGATCCAGACTACAATACAGGTTGTTACACACCCATTCCACCACCCCACTATAAATGCCATGGGGACTAGCCAGCATGCAAATTGGAATGGACTTGAAAATATATCGCTGTTCCTTCAGCGGGGTTTGGTGATAATCCTGGAATTTCCTCCCTAACAGCACTGTAGGTCGACAGGAGACTACAGTTGTTCAAGAAGGCAGCTCACCACTTCACTAGCCTCTACTTCCACACCATTTGCCTGCACTATCCCCTTAAAACTTGTGGGATCGACATTCTCTCCAGCTGGACTCCACAAAATATGATGGGAAATAAAAAACTTTCTCAAGGGAAACTGAGGACAAAATATGATGGGAAATAAAAAACTTTCTCAAGGGAAACTGAGGACAAGCAATTAAGGCTGACCCAACTGGCAACACTGATCTACCATGAGTGAATAAGAAATTGTATTGGGGGCAAGTATGGTATTGTTGGAGGGATGAAAATTAAATTGCTAATGACTATCTATTGCCATTGAGGCCCAGAAGATATTGGGGCTGAGTCCTCTGCTCACAATCTGTCATAGAGACTCCTTTGGATTTGGACTATTAGTGTTGTTTAAAGTAGTACATTGTGAACATATAAAATCTGCACCCTTCAGAGAAATGAGGATATTTAAAATTCATATCTTCATTTTACAAAATAATTAATCTTCAGTTTCTTTTCAAAATTAATTGCTTCATTTTCAAGTTTGCAAATATTAATCTGATAATTGTTGTATAAGAGAGCTATTTTTCAGCCATTGTTATTGCTGAAGTATTTCAAGTTGTTGCTGGATACCTCGGGAAGGAATAGTATTTAAAACAAATGTTCTGGCTCTCTTTTTGAACTTCTATTAACACGCATGTAGATTTTTATTCTTGTGTTGCTCCTGGACAATAACTTAACACAAGCAACAGCATGTGGCTTTTTTTTTAATATCCATTAATGAGATGTTAATGTTTCTGGCTGGGCCAGCATTTATGGCCCATCAGTAATTGCCCTTGTGATGGTGAGCTTCCTTCTTCAACCACTGTAGCCCATTTGCTGTAGGCAGGCCTACAATGCCATCAGGGACAGGGTTCCAGGGTTTTGTCTTACCAGCACTGAAGGAATAGTGACGTATTGTGAAGTCAGGATGGCCAGTGGCTTGGAACTTGCAGTTAGTTGTATTCATATGTTACCCTTGACCTTCTCAATGGAAGTGGTCGTGGGTTTGTAAGGTGCTGTCTAAGGAGCTTCAGTGAATTACGTTTGTAGATAGTGCACTCTGCTGCTACTGAGTATGTTTGGTGGAGGGAGTGAATGTGATACCAGCTAACTGGGCTGTTTTGTTGTGAATGGTGTCAAGCTTCTTGTGTGTTGTTGGAGTTGCATCCATTGAGGCAAGTGGGGAGTATTCCATCACAATCCTGACCTGTGCCTTATAGAGGGTGGGGTAGGCTTTGAGGCACCAAGAAGTGAGTACTTACTAAAGGATCTCTTGCCTCTGACTTGCTGTTGTACCAGAGTATTTATTGGGTTAGTCCAGTTCACTTTCTGGTCGGTGGCAACTCAGGATGTTGATAGTGGAGAGATCAGAGAAAATCATTGAATGTCAAGGAATAATGGTCAGATTCTCTCTTGTTGGAGATGTCACTGGACAAGTAAAACAGAGGCCCATTCAAAATCTCTGTTGTCATTGATTCAAATCTCACCATGGCAAATGATGATGAAATTTGAATTCAATGAAATTCTGGAATCAGTTTAATGGCAACCACTATTGAAAGGCCCCAGCTGGTTCAGTGTTGTCCTTTAGGGAAGACAATTACCATCCTCACCTGGTCTGACCTACATATGACTCCAGACCCACAGAAATATGGTTGACTCTTAACTTCTGTCTGGGCAATTAGGAATGGACAATAAATACTAGCCTAAGAGCAATGCCCACATCTCGTAAATCAATTTTTAAAAAATTGAGATTGCCTGGCTTTTGCTTGTCATGAATGTTTCATAGAATCCCTACAGTGTGGAAACAGGCCCTTCAGCCCAAAAAGTCCACACTGACCCTCAGAGCATCCGACACAGATCCATCCCCCCATAACCCACCTAATCTACATATCCCTGAACATTACAGGCAATTTAGCATGGCCAATCCACCTAGCCTGTACATGTTTGGACTGTGGGAAGAAACCGGAGCAAACCCACACAGACGCGGGGAGAATGTGCAAACTGTGTGGAGTTTGCACATTCTGCTTTTTTTTTTACAAACTATCACAGGAAGGTGTTGTTTGGTCTGTCCAGTGTCTTATCTGAAATGTAGTCATTATAGTCAAACAGGCAAGTTTCAAGGACAGAGTGGTGGAGAAGTTTCGGTTGGGAATTTCTATCATTAGGACCTTCATAGCTAACATGATGATGGTAAAACAATGTGCTACCAGGTTCATTGAAGTAGATGTGTAGCTTTCACGTCAATCTGTAAATCCATTGATTTGGAGTTGCGAACTATCAAATTTTGTCAGAGCAACTGGCGCAACCTCTTTCTGGTTCGTCAGGCAATTGGAAATGACGACAGCTCTTCATGGAAGTGCCCTCTGTTTTTGTATCTTTCCATGTTTGTCAGTAAGTGACTGAAATAGCTTCACAAGGACACAACATGTTTTTCTCTTCCATGACTGTGGCAAAAAGAATCAAGCTGTTGTGAGTAATTGTTTGCTTTTTAATCTTCTTTGCTTTCTCTGATGACTCATACCAGATATGGAGCCCCAAAGGGCTCAATGTTAATTATATAATAACTGCCTTCCCCAAAGTTCATTGGTTCAGTGACAATTTGAGGAGATGGAAACTTTGCCTTAGCAATCAGCCTCCATACAATTTCTAAATTAGACATTGTTTGAAATAATTGGCTTTTTGGCAGACCACTCCAGCTAAGGCAGTGAAGATGGAGCATTTTGGCTGAAGATCTCTGTGTAATGGTTCTAAGATCAAACTTTTCATCCACTCCAAGATCACAAAGAGCACTAAAGTAAAAGCTTCACTCTTTCAAACACTCAAGCAATAAAGAGAGGCTTACATTTGTACAGTATCTTTTCATGATGCAGAAAGCCATTCCAAAGTGCTTTACGTTCAGCAAAGTACTTTTCAGTTATATCAAAGGAAAAACTGCAGCCAAGTTGTGCACGGAGTCGTCCCAGAAACAGCAAAATGTTAATGGACGTAATCATGGTGTTGCTTGTGGAATAAATGTTGGGGCTGGGACACTGTGGGGAAGCAGAGAATGAGAGGTTAGAGCCCTAGATGAACAGGGCGCCAGTTAGTGATGGAGCATTTAGGGTTAGATTGGAATGTGTGGGCAGGTTTCTGATCGAGCAGGGAGAGGAGTGGGTATTTTCTCTAGCAGGGTCCGGGGTCTGGTGTCTGGTCTTGTGGATTGGGAGAAGACCAGGTTTGTAGGCCACAGTCCATCAGGTGCAAGGGGTCAGGATGAGGTACATACCTTGAATCTAATTGATCCTTCTTAATAAAGGATCATCTGAGAAAGTCAAATCACACCTACTTTTACAAGCCAGTCATCCTTCAAACTTTTTTCTGGAATAATATTAAAAGCAGCAGACTCCCGAGAGTCTCCAATTTAAGTGGATATTTTTGGAGAGTTTCAGGAATGTGAGAATTCCCACTGAAATCTTCAATCTCTTAGAAAACTCTGCTGTGTCAGGGATTCCACAGGGTCCCAATGCACAACTCGAGTCAATGTTGCAGAATCAGTTGTCTGGCTGTCAGAAAATCCAGGCCCCAGTTTCTTTTGCAACTAAAGTTATTTTCTTGTCTGTTACCATTGTGATGGTTTCTGATGACTAGGCTATTATCACAGTCTGATTTCCACTCAGCTGCAGATCATTGTGATAGAATGGGTGTGGGAAAAAAACTCTAAATTTGAAATTCCATGCCAAAGCCAAACAGTTTGCAAACTGCCCTGTCCAGCAATTTCTTCAACTGTTTGGAGAAGGGTCGTCGTTAACCACAAAAGTGGGTGTGTTGTGCTGTAATGGTTTCTGATTGAGAAGATTAATTTGCATTTTAATTTCTTGTCCAAACTTAAAGATTAACTTTGGCTCCTGATGTACTTATGAGAAAATTTACAGGAAATAAAACAAAAATCACTGACCTGTCAACTCCATTTTGCTTTGAAAGTGTGTCCATTTTTTATATTGTCTGAAGGCAAGGTATCCATTTTAACGTTGTACTTTATAAGCCTATAATGAGTGAAAATAGACTAACTTTATTACTTGGAAATCTTTAGAAGAGTTACGCCAAGAGAGAATTCTCACAAACAAAATGCACTTTTCCTTCTTGCAGATAATGAGGAATATATTCCATCAATCGTTCAATGCATACAAAACAGATATAGAACCCAGGGTGAATGACTTGACAATCCACCTCCTTCAGTGCAGCCGAAGACTATTCGAGATCATGCTGTCACATAGAAGGGTCACAGCAGCCTACATCGAAGGAGATAATGTTGCAGTCACCATAGAGGGAGAAGCAGCTAGAGTCTTAAACTTTGATACAGGTAATGAGACAACTGTACAGTTGAGGGGGAAACCATCATATCGCTGTGTTTTCCTTAGGGTTCTGCGGTCCAGTGCAAAGCCGGAAGATTGTGGGGACAATCTGATTCCAGATTGGGTTAGTCTATGTCAGTTGATGCAGTTAGAATTCTAAAGCTGGCTCAGGCAAAACTAATTTCCTTCTTTCTCACCATTCCAATGGCCCCACCTTCAACCAGTGATCTTGCCTTTTTGAGAAACATGGATGTTTATTTGAAGGCATGACATAGCTTCATTTCATAGGTCAAGTGAACCGCACCATCCTGGGCTCATGCACAAGGGGGAGAAAAGTGGTGTGCTTTCGGGGTGTGAGATTCAGAATCACCACTGGTGTCAACTCCACTCGGTAGAGGTGGGATTTTAATCCTCAAGGAATTAACGGGTTTGATTCAATGAGAATTTTTTATTTAAAAAACCCAAACTAGCTGTGGATAGGCTACTGAATGCCTTCATTGGAGAGACAGGGCAAGTGAATTTGTGGTAGCGGTGTGGCATCTAACCTGCTCACAGCGGCTGGTCCAATCAGTAACATCTTTTGAGGGGGTCTCCGGTGTGATAGTTACTTCTAATTTTCTTACACACTTAACTTGGAAGAGAATATTGGGAGGAAATTTGTTGAAGATGTTCATGCGTCTGGACAGAATGGTTTGGGAGACACCTACAGTGATGGAGCAGATGAGAATTGGAAGACCACTGATCTAATTGGGAATAAAGCGATGGTGAGGCGAATAAAATTTTAAGTGTGTAATAAATTAGAATGTGGAAAACATTGCCTGTAAAGTGATAAATGCAATAATTATCTAAAGAGGGAGTTTTTTTTTCTTGGAATATGGATATCACTGGCTGGCCAGCATTTATTGCCTGTCCCTAGTTGCCCTTTGGAAGGTGGTAGTGACCTGCCTTCTTAAGCCACTGCCAGCCACATGCCGCTGTAGGTATATCTACAATGCCTTTAGGGAGGAAATTCCAGGAATTTGACCCAGAGACAGTGAAGGAACGGTGATATATTTCCAAATCAGGATGGTGAGTGACTTGAAGGGGAACTTGCAGGTGGTGGTGTGCTCATGTATCTGCTGCCCTTGTTCTTTTAGATGGAAGAGGTGTAGGTTTGGAAGGCGCTATCTAAGTGGGACCAGGTGAATTGTTTTTGCAGAGAATTGTCATGGACATGGTGGGCCAAATGGTCTCCTACTCCACTGTAATTGGTGGTTCCTAGATTCCCAGACCTCAGGTAAGAGGAGCAAAGATTGGTATGATCCTGCGGTTATGTAGATTAGCAGCACTTCTGTGGGCCAGATCAAGCAGGGACTTTGCAGGAAGTCGGGGAAGTCTTGAAGTCCATCCACCAGTCAAATAGCAGATCTACCATGTCTGAGAATGAATCAGTCAGCCATTTAGCTCTGAAGAATGTGTTTGAGTGAGCAAGTTGATTAGTGTGCACTAAGATAGTGATTGATATTGAAAATCTAAAACACAGTCTTTACCCAAGTCATTAAACGAAGCTCCAATCCCCAAGATCCTGTTAGAAGTTTGGGGAGTTCCTCTGGTTTCCTGGCATAAAGTTATGTCACATCACTAAAGCAAATCTCTTGGTCATTTATCTCATTGTTCTTTGTGGAACTTTACACACAAAAAAAGTTTGAGTCCAATCTTACTAGGAACTACAGATGCTGGAGAATCTGAGATAACAAGGTGTGGAGCTGGATGAACACAGCAGGCCAAGCAGCATCAGAGGAGCAGGAAGGCTGACGTTCCGGGTCTGGACCCTTCTTCAGAAAGACCCTTTTTCTGAAGAAGGGTCTAGGCCCAGAACGTCAGCCTTCCTGCTCCTCTGATGCTGCTTGGCCTGCTGTGTTCATCCAGCTCTACACCTTGTTATCTCATGAGTCCAATCTATGACTGTTTGGTTTTTAAAAAATGCAATTATCTGTTCAGTATATTAAGGCTTTTCACAGGATAAGCAGGTGCTATATTAATAGTGTAGAATGCAATAAATAATGTTTTTAATGTACATGAAGTCTTGATCCCCATACCTTTGATAAACTACTTTTGTATTAATGGATAGTATCATGTGTTGCATACACCTGTCTGTTAATTGTCATTTTGCTATTGATTTGATAGAGACGTATCTTTCTGCTTGGTTGCAGGTTGTGGAGTGAACCTTGGATTGAAAGGCTTGGAGTCCTTGGATGAATTTATTTATAAAATGGCAACAGCAGTTGACCAAAGTGATGTTTTCGAAGCACTCTCTGAAAAGATAAGACACTCGAAACAAATTGCGGAGGATTTCCGCCTGAATGGCTTGACTGTGACCATGTTTCAGTGAGACAGCGGGGAGGAACATGGCCATGGAGATATTACACCTGCCAGAATGGATCAAGAATGAGCAACATGCAAGAAATTTTTGAGCTTGTCGCTCTATAGCTCATGAAAGATTGTCGACAGAAGTGGTCACAGTAGAGTGGGCAGGGTTCGGCCAAAGTGTAATGAAGTTTAGAGGCTTCATTTTGGGTTAAAAGCACAAAGCTAAGAATATAACTGGACACCCAGAAAGTTATTCACATTTACATCTAGTTGCAGGAGAGCGTCGATTGTAAAGTGCTTTAACCTAAAATTTTCAGAGTTTACATTATAATTTTACTTGCTAATAAAAAGATTCTCTAGACCTGGAGGTTGGTTTCCCAATGATTAGTTCGTGAAAAGCTCATCCATATGAGGATTTCTGGATCATATTTTCTGGTACTCATGAATTGGATCAATCAGTAACAGCCATTAACTTTTCCTCTCAAAACCCATAAACCTCAATGTTTTATTTGCAAGGTCCTGCAGTCTGTTTGTAAGACATTGAGGTATCCAGAAGCTTAGTATTCCAAGATGTACATCTATGGCATATCCTCAAGAAAATCTATCATGTAGAGTCTAATGGGTTGACAATGCTGTTTGAGGTTACTTAGCTTTATGTTGTATTAAACTGGAGGATAGGAGAAATAAGAATCATGGGGTCTACATGTTATGTATTAGGATACACTAGTTGATGGGCTTCTATTTATTCAAGAGGACCCCATGTGCTAGAATAAGATGAATACTCATGAGATATGTACCATCAACATGCTTCAAATCACAAGAGCAATAGCTTACATTTGTATCGGACTTGCATTATAAAATGTCCTCAGACATTTTTGCAGGTGTAATGAAAAATAAACTCCATGTCAAAGAAATGATGGAAACTTTGGTGGACAATCTATGTTTTAGAATGGGAAGGGGTAAAGGGTATAAAGAGGGCATTCCAGTTTAGGCAGCAGAACGGATGCTGTCAACGACAGGGCAAAAGAAGAGGAGAATGGACAAAAATCTAGTTTTAGGAGGATGGTGTGATATCAGAGGGGGCTTTGAAAGGCTGGCAGAGGCGGTGGTTAGGTTTGGGGCTAGGACAACAATGCTATAACTTGAACACTAGGATCTGAACTTAAAACTGAGGCGTGGAAGTCTCTACAGGACAGTGAGAATAGGAATGGTGGATCAGGACATGGATAACCAAGTTTCAGGAGTGTGGAAGGTGGGAGGATGACCAGGAAAGCATTAGAACAGTAGAGTCTGTAAGAAACAAAAGTGTGGATAAGTGTTTCAACGGATGATGGACTGGGACAGCTCATAGTAGGTGGTAGAAGTAAGTGATCTTTTGTGTTGGAGAAGGGATTTCCCCACAGATCTCACGCATTTATTGTGGTTCATACGTCATTAGATCAAAGTGTTTGGGGAAAAGTGTATCTTCGCCATACAGCTAGCAGCAGCTCAAGAAACCTGTTCTCACGATACGTTCTCAAGAGCAATAAATACTCAATTTACGAAAAATGGTCACAAGATTAAAACTCAGCTTAAACTAGGATTTCAAGGTGACAAATGGTCCAGTTCAGCACAAGATGGTGGCCAGGATATAAAGCTTGTGGCAGAAGTTTGAGGTATTGGCTTTTCCAACAGGTACGAGAAACAAGGAGAAAAGTTGGATCACTATTTAAGTGGGAAAGGGGCTAAGGATGCAGGTGGTGGGACATGAAAGGAGTTCTGAGAGGGGACAAAGAAATGTCCTTAGTCAGGGCTGAAATAGGAGGAAGCCTCAAGGGAGGTTTGACTTGATAGGGAAAGAAATCAGTAAAAACATAAGAACAGATGGATTGGAGAGAGCAGGTTGCAAGTTCTTCATTTGTTAAAGGAAAATGTTGGTAGTGAGGAGAAGTTGAAAATAAGGGTATTCTTTGTGATAAGTTTTTATGTTATTGACTCATAATTCTGTGGTGGGAAAGATCTCATTTATGCTCCAGCACAATGTCACCACATTCCACCTCCATAACATTGCTACCCCACACAAAATCAGGCCCAGTCTTCTAGTTCAGTTTTATTTTCAGGCAGAGCTCAACATTTTTGTCAGGAGATTCCAAACAAGGCCACAAGAAATGTGGAGCCATTGTTTAAAATCTGATAGTTCCTTGTAGTGCAGAGTAGTCACAGGAAGACAAACCTAGCCATCCCCTACCATTTCTCACACCAGTCAGTTGCCACTATTCTGTGTGATGTTATACCTTGAGCATCACAGACCACCACATTGATAGCTTTTGTGAAAGGAGAAGTGTAGAGTTGGTGTGCCAACTGGATGGGATGCCAGGAGAGTACAGAGTCTGGTGTGTAGATTCCCACAAGGTTAGGTGACCAAGTAGTTGATCATGTGTGGGATGAGGATGAAAAGGTAGATATTAGATTTGGCTTTGAGGAGATGCTATTGGAGTTGGGTTGGATCCTCTGATAGTGCAGGATGTCCTGAGTCAGTGAGATGTAGGTGTCTAGGAGAGGTATAATTGGGGTGAGCATGGAGGTTTGGGGGCGTGGGTTCAATTTAATGATTACTTTGGAGTTATACCAAGTTTTCAATAGTCCAGCCTTTCCTGAGGAACTATATACATAATTGTGGAGGAGCCCTCTGAATTCTGTGATTGAGATGAATACTTTCAAAGTATCCCATGCATAAGGATTTGCCATGGGAATCATAATTCTCTGGGCAATTCTTCTGGAGCCTGCGACATTGGGGATTTCATGGGATCCCAATGAGCAATTTCCAACTACGCTGCAGATTGGAAAATTGAGGTCAGTATCTGCTTCAGGATGCGCTTGGAGCCGTGGAATATTTAGACAGAGGGATAGTGAGTGTAATATTGTTTGATGTG